TAAAACTATTACAATAATAAAAAATCATTGTGATTTTGTTATTTAAAAATGAATATTATCAGTTATTTATTTTCACAAAACTTTTTTTCTAAGTAATAAATGAGTTTTCTTCTCATTTTTTTGCTTGCTTTTCTTTTTCATTGTAGTTGGAGAAGATTAATGTATAAAAATAATGGAAATGGATCATCTATCTAATCGAATTTATGGATGTGTTATTTGTGTTGACGATGATATAATAATAAAAAAAATAATAATTATGACGACATGAAAATTAACTCTAATATGGAAGTTTTTCTTTTTTTTTAAAGAAGTTCTCTCGAATTCAGAGAGAGAAGAAAAATTTTATATATGTAAATATCTAGTACACACTTAATAATACATAATATGCTTTTTACGTATATCCTCGAGTTTCTGAAAAAAAAACGAGTTATGTAATATTGTATCAGTTTGATTATATTTAAAAAATTCACTAGTGATTCAGTGACAAAAATGAATGTATTATCTATCATTAAAATGGTATTGTAGCTGAATAGTTTATAATACTTCACGTCTAAAAACACTGCAGACAATTTATATAGTATCGATATGACTATGTCATTGTCTAGAATATTGAATATTCAATATTTGTCATGTGACATGCATTATCCTTGAAAACAATCAAAAATTATTATCTCAAAATGACTAAAAAAAACGTATGTCCAAATATTTTGATATATAAGAGAATGTTCTATGAACAGTACTGTATTTAAGTAAATTGTATCTGAAAATGTTTTAATAATTTAAAATATTTTGCATATTCAAAAATTGTTCTTGTATTGTTATCAGAAGTAGACATGGTTATATTTAAAAATGTTATAAAGAAATTTGATCATCTTTATGTCAACAAATTGTAATTAAATACTCTTACAGATGCATTTATATACACATTTCTTATATAGACACGTCGTTAACTTTATTAGAACGTAACATAACAAAAACATATATTCACAAAATGAAATATAAAAAATGTCAATAATGGCAAATGTTCAATAGATAAAAGTGAGGAGAAAAAACAGCCAAGAAACCATATCAACGATCTACTAAACATTGGAGTTATCTATCATATGCTCCTCTAAAATATCGATATCAAAATTAATACTAAGTGGATTAGTATTTTTGGATAACTGAACACACACACACACACCTGTCTATCGTTCTATGATTAACTTTGAAAAAGACAACTTTTCTATTTGATATATGAGAAGGTTGGATTGTGATTCTTTGGATTACATAAATCTGTAATTATTATTTGTAGCAGTCTCATGAGAAGAAATATTCATGCATGTAGATTGTGCATGCTCTCTTTAATAAAATTTATTTTTGTTCTTTAGATCTGTTTACACTTGATTTATTTTTGCCTTATCGTTTATGTTGAAAAAGGCGGCGAAATTCTGTTCTCAAATCGACACATCTATTAGTTGAACTACATATTTTACATACATAGAATACATGTTTTACTGCTAGTTGACTAATTATATGTAAACTTTGCCGATGATGATTATCTATTTCTATTGACCAGATTCAATTCAACCGACGAGAATATATTCGAATAGTGCTCTCTATTAATTGTTATTAGACAACATAGATCGAACATGTTCGTGTAGAAATTATAAAGCAGAAAAAATTATTTCCATGAATAAATTCATTTTTGTCTAAAGTGGAAAATCACATATATTTGTTTACAAATTTCTGTATTTGGTTTTTTTGTTTGATTGTGTTCATAGTTTCAAACAGTTGAAGAACTAAAGATAAATTATATTTGTTCAGTGTACGCAATGAAACATTTCTGCTAGTATTATACTCTACTTTTTATTACATGAAAGACAGTAAAAGTTGAAAAATAGAAATAAAATGGATTTTCGTCTTTTTCTTAGTATGAAGAGCGTCTATATGGACTATATAGTGTAGAAGTGTTCGTACAAGCTTAGTGTATACTAGACAAATGCATAACAATTTCAGTTTTATTAAGATTTGAATCACAAAATGACCGTATTTCGAATATAGAATCAAAAAGATATTATACATGTTGTATTCAATCACTTTGAATACCATATATCTTTAATTTCCTTGTTCAGTACCCATGCGATCTGTAACACGAAACTGTATTATCCAGTCTAAATGTTTCCAACATGTGAACTCTAGCCCAGTTCTTGTGAAATGTTCATACAGTCAATGATACTCTTGAATAATAAATAGCTCTTGATTTATTCAAGGTGTATAATTTGATTCCATATTACTGTCAGTGTGTTATAAGGCTTTGAAACTGCGTGAAAAATACTGAAAAAGAAAGAACGGTGACTATAGTAACGGAAACGGTATATAATGATGGAACTGCTATTAAAGTTGGCTATTATGATACGTAAATGTTCACAAATACTTGATAATATTTGAAAGTGTACTTTCAGTGGGCCTCCTATCCATTCAGAAATCTATTGTCGAGAGGAATTATCCAATCTTAATAGAATTTTCAGCGAATGTTAGTCCTATCAAAATAAGTTTGAGTTTGAAATCTTTCTCAGATACAAACGTCAAAAGTAGGTCTCGGCATTTTACAGAATTTCTCTTCTATTTTAAACCCCATCAAATTCGAGTTGGTCTTAAATTAAAAAGAAAAGTCGGTACTATTACACAGCAGAGCCATCAACCCACTTTATAGATGACTATTAGATTAGTCTATTAGTAGTAGCATTATCATTGCTACTACCCATTTCAATAGCGTAATCAGGATTTTTCGACTGCTGGGCCGTGTTCAGTAGAGTGGAAAAAAATCATTGGGCCCAGGTGGGCCGAACGTTGCCTGCTTGGGCAGGAAATTTTTCGACTGTTGGTAGTTCCGATAGTGTTATTTTCGGTGTTACTCGTTATCGTGGCAATTTAAGGTTTTTCGACGTCATTTTTTGATGAAAAAATTGAAATATATTGATCTTTTGAACTGCAGAAAAAAACAGTGAAATTTTCATGTTTGATCGCCTTTCGAAATTACAAAACCATTTTTCTCTTATGTTCCACTGAAAACTGCGTCTGGAAAGCTAATTTAGGAAATTTTAGAAACTAACATGGACTCAGAATCTGCGAAGCACGAGTACAATGGTAAAGGAACTGACAGTCAATTTTACGAGCCTATCTGGTCCTCCGATTTGGAGATAGAATTCTTTCTTTTACTTCATTCTGATCGCGATACTTGTGTGTGAATGATTAGAGATCCTCTTTAGTTTTAGAGAAGAAAGTGAAAAGAAGTTCATTTAGCATAGCCGTGACCTATCGAAAAGTCTAGTATTAAATTCATAAAACGTGCTGCCAGACTTCGTTAAGTTTCTTATTAACATATATTGTAGAGCTTTTCATGGCGCATCGAGTGATGTATTGCGCTAGGCTTAATATAATATGGTTACTGAGAGATGTTGATTTTACAGTCATACTGTTGGTGCTAAATTGCTGCTTGGTTTCAAGTAGATTCTGTTGGGTATATTCGACTGAATGCGTTCGGAAGGGTCGAAACCATTGGATGTGATTCTGATGAGGTTGGGACCGATTAGAGGGGTTATTGTTAGTGGGCCGATTACCGTTCTTATGTGGACTTCACCTCTATATCAGTAAAAAAACAATTGAATTGGGCTCGTATTTTGCCGTTTCCTTTATCAAAAATCAGCTTTTCGACACAATAAAGGCCACTTGGAGAATCAGCGTTAACTCCTAAGTTGAAAAATAGGTTTCAGACATTTTGGGAAATTTTGGATTTTTAGTGAGACTCCTGAGTTTTTTTTCAATTTTTGAGAAGATCGAGAAAAATCGAAAAAATATGAACTACTCCAAAGACCCCGAAACACACATTTTTCAACTCAGTTTGTAACGATTGATTTTTAATAGAGGAAAGGGCAAAATATGAACCCAGTCTTATTGTTTTTTCATTGATTTCGAAAAAATTGAATTTCTCTGTAAGAAAACAAAATTTTCCAAAAAGGATAAAACGTACAAACAGTATCGATAACTGTTTCCCCATAATATGTGAAGTGTGTACTACTATAATATGCCGGATAGGTTGTTTCACAATAACTTTGATTTGATACATTATATAGCTGGATGATCGACGACCGGGTAACACGGTACCAGCTAACAGGTATTGTATTTTTTCACAAATATCGCGATCAGAATGAAGTAAAAGAAAGAATTCTATCTCCAAATCGGAGGACCAGATAGGCTCGTAAAATTGACTGTCAGTTCCTTTACCATTGTACTCGTGCTTCGCAGATTCTGAGTCCATGTTAGTTTCTAAAATTTCCTAAATTAGCTTTCCAGACGCAGTTTTCAGTGGAACATAAGAGAAAAATGGTTTTGTAATTTCGAAAGGCGATCAAACATGAAAATTTCACTGTTTTTTTCTGCAGTTCAAAAGATCAATATATTTCAATTTTTTCATCAAAAAATGACGTTGAAAAATCTTAAATTGGCTTTTTCCTATCTAAGTCGGTGAGTTCTATCCAACGATACCAAAAGAATGGGAAACAAAAGTCATGCTATATTTTGGAATTGGCAGCACATTATTTCGCTTTCATGCCACAAACTTTATTGAGGGTTGGTAGGCGAAGAAAAAGCTTTGGGCCGAACACTCAAAAAAAATTTGGTATTAGGCCAATGTTCAGATCGCACTGGATCATTGCTCAATGGCCACCTGTAGTTACGTTTATGATCCATCTAACCATCCGATGTGCACGCAACATTAATGACAAATACGAGTCAAAAATATCAGTTCATAGTTAATTTCAATTGATCACATTGCGCGAACATTTATTTTCAATCACTGTTTCACATATTTCATAACGTGTATTTGTAAGTGACAGCACTGAAAATAATAACTGTTCGGTATATTCAACCAATTGTACATCAGTCGTGCTACAAACGTTTCTTCGCAGTATAACCGAAATGAATACCTATGGCAGTCCTGCTAGTAATTTATGCGCCAGCTAAATCAATGCAATCCCGTAGCATGCAGTTGGATTAAAATAATCTTTTGTTCTAATTTCTATTGCACAAGCGGAAGCTAAATATCTTTTGATTCATTTATGGATATGTAAAGTCATATGTAATTGGCCATCTTGGTTCTCTGTACGTGATAAAAAATCGTATAACTTGATCACATTTTTTACATAAAAGTATTAAAATAGTTAGGAGACTTAAAGTAGTATACAGGACCAATTTTTTGCTAAGACGTGTGATACTTATTGCGCAACAAGTACACACAAGTGTACAGAATGTTAATAGAATGATTGGAATATCGTCTGTTGAAGATAGTCGTCGACGTTTCGATGTCAAAGGTTTATCCAGAGGGCGAAGTAAATAATTTTGACGATCAATCATTAGATACTCATAGATGTATAAACTAAAACAAACAAAATGATTTCTAAGAGTACTAAAAACAGACTTGTTTTAGTAGAATGTCGCTGTGTTACTGATATATGTTCACATCGCCGTTGAATACACCGTCGAACAAAATCTAAATCTTCATATTTTCGTCTTAATTCAGCTGGATTATCAATTTGTCGTAACTTGAGCTCATCATGTGCTTCTTTAATACCATTTTTAACAAATAATTTTAATGCCTTTGTATCATATTGTTTCCATTCAATACCTGATAACAAATTGGATGCTTGTAATTGTTTTAAAAGTTCAATTTCTAGTTGAAGACGATCAATGGATACTTCATCAGATTCAAAATAATAATATTCATTTGGCATAATGATGATAACTCTTACTCTCTATCTCGCGCCATACGCTTACCCTACACTATTTCTTATTGTGTTTTCTTGATTGAATATAAAACTAATACATTTTTCGATGCGATGTTTCTGATTTATTATATTCAGAAATACCAAAGAGAAACTTAAGACACCTTTCTCACCGACTAACAGATTGGTACTCGTTAATTACAAAAATCATTTGTTTAATCTTGCGAATAAAGACTTCTGCTAAATCTTTTAACAATTAATACATCAACAACATGTGGCTAAAAACAAAAGAATTCAATATCAAGTTTTTAATTAGAAAATAATTGTTTCACACACATATAGGTAAACCAGTAGCTCGATTTTTTTGATGAAAATAATTATGAAAAGAAAAAAAGGGTAAACCGAAGCAATATCCGATGATTCCAGTCTTTAATTCCTCGAACATTTTGATATTAAGATAAATATTACAGGTCAAATTACCTTTAATGATTTCGTGATTTAACACAGTAATATTACAAAATTAAATTTTATATCTACGATCTACGGTAGGAGAAAAAATATATTGAGAAGAGGGTTCACTAGGATTTTCAAATTCGTCGTTTCACAAAGAATTTCATGTTTGTTTCAAATATAAAACTGCGAAATTACATGGCGAACACGGCATCTACAAAACTTTTAATTATTTTGGCCCTTAGTATATTTTATTTTGTATTATTTTCCAACAAATCGAGCTGGCTTGTTACATGTTGGTTCAAGTTGAACTAGTTAAGTCACAATAATAACAACAAGATTTATTGTATTATTTTTATTTTTGCATCATATATTCCTCTTCTCAGAAAAATGATATAGATCATTTCGTTGTGTCATACAAAAAACCCTTTCCCTCTATATCACTCGACTAAATAAGAGGTTGTGTCCTCTGCTTTCGTTGTTTAAGTGGTTGGAGTAGACTTCTAATAGAATGTGTCGCCCAATTTAAGAGGTTATGTCACAAAAATGATACGGATCTCTTTGCTGGATCCCAAAAACAGGTGATAACAGGGGTTTTTGAGTATAAAACTGAAACTCAGTCTTCTTCAAAGACTCTGAGGGCGTTTCCCAAATTAACGTAAAAAGGAAGTTCCTAGTTAACAAAAATACGTCTACTCGTCAAACAATTTCGCTCTTGGGCTGGACAGACTCTATAATCGCGATTACCATGGTGTCTACAACATTCAACCCAGCGTAATCCACCGAGAATACCGACAGATATGACCATAACATCAACTGCAAACAAAATCACAATTTTCTGTGCTCGTACACTTGGTAATTTCCATTGTGTTTCAGCATAGTTCTTCGTATTGTAATAACACGTTTCAGTTGACACGACCTGCAATATAGAAGAAGAGAGTGTCTAATTTAAAAAATCTCGATAAGCTGATTTACTTACCGGATATTCATCTCTTGCATCTGCGTCTGAATAGAATTTTTTCGGTTTATTGATTTTTCCATGCTGTATCGTCGTTGTCGCATTATCATCATTCTTCTTCATTTCATAGACAACGGACCATGTAGCGAAGTAAGAGTCGTAAGTTTCTTTGTCAGTTCGACATCTTTCATGAGATACTGAGCAGTATGGTACACATTGTTTTCCTATAAATCGTGTGTTTTAACTGAGCATAGTCATAGAGAACGAGAACCAGTTGGCAGAAGAAGACAGGCCAAACAGAAGAGGATAGAGACGTGAGTTTTGATGCATTTCAAATTTGAATATTCCATAGTAGGTTGTGTGATGGAACCGAGTTTCAAAGTGAAAAAATGCAGGTTTATATACCCTCTCTTCTTCGAGATGATTCGGTATCTTTTACTTCTTCGGGTTCGATTACATCTTTAATTTCGTTAGTCAAAGGTCATTCTTTACACTTTTAACACCCAGCCACAGAACAAAAAAGAAGTGCGTCTTTGAGGAAGTTATTGTTTGCAGTAATAGTGTTGCGAAATTACGTGGCGAACACGGCATCTACAAAACTTTCAATTATTTTGGCCCTTGGTGTATTTTATCTTGCATTATTTATAGTTATTCTAAACTTTTTTATTTTCCAACAAATCGGACTGGCTTGATACATGTTGTATCAAGTTGAACAAGTCACAATAATAACAACAGGAAAAAATGTATTGTATTATTTTTATAGATTTCAATAATTGCTTATATTATCCGTAAATTTATTGTTAGCCAAACGTTTCGGCTTGGTAAAGCCTTTATCAATGGCACATAATAAGAAAACGGTCAAACAACTGAAAATAAAACTAA